TGTTCATTATGGTTCACGTGAATCCATCAGTTTTCTGGCCTGGATAATTCACTGTGCTGCCTCTCATCCCAAACAGAAGTGAAGTCAGCCACCGGCCCTGAGGTCAGTGTGCCTTCCTGAGGCTCTGCAGGGTGTGGCTGGGGCTGTGAGGTCACCCAGGCTGGAACCTGATGAAACGGGACTGGGTGTGGGCCGCTGGGCAGAGATCAAGGTAAGTGTTTCTGGACTGATGCTTGATCTCCCTGACAGATTTCTTGCCCACAGATGGGGCTGCTTTCTCAGTTGTGTAAGGGACACAGGCTATGGTCGTCCAGTACCCACCATGGCCGCAAAACCAGAGCTCTGCCAAGAGATTCAGGCAGTGTGGCCTGATGGCGGGTGTCCTGCCAACGGAGCTTTCCCAGGCTAAGCAGACAGGGTGTCCTGCACTGGAATAAGCCAGCTCTGGGAAGCCTGTCATCAGCCTAGGCAGGAAGGAGGGGGCCGGGCCTCCCATGACCCACATGCAGTGCAGACAAGGACATGGGGTGGGGCATACCCCTGGCTTGGAGCAAACAGTGTGAGCAAACACAGTGACATGATGGTTGCAGGTGGCCTTGACAACTGGTGCCTGTGGTGCTGTGGCTTGGGGGGTGTGTGGGTAGAAGCAGGCATCTCTCGGAAGAGTGCACTGAATTCTCTTTTTCTGCAGAAAACCAGATGATGAACCCCAATCCTAGACTATTCATCTATCTTTCTTTCCTTCCTTCCCTACTTCTCTCCTTCCTTCCTTCCTTCCTCTCTCTCTCTCTCTCTCTCTCTCTCTGACATAGTATTGCTCTGTCACCCAGGCTGGAGTGCAGTGATGTGATCTCAGCTCACTGCAACCTCCGCCTCCCGGGTTCAAGCAACTCTCACATCTCAGCCTCTCAAGTAGCTGGGATTACAGGAACCTGCCCCTACACCTGGCTAATTTTTGTATTTTTAGTACAGACAGGGTTTCACCATATTGGTCAGGCTGGTCTCCAACTCCTGGCCCCAGGTGATCCACCTGCCTCCGGAAGTGCTGGGATTCCAGGCTGGAGCCACTGCAGCTGGCCTATTATTTGCTTATTTAAGACCAAAGTGAGCCGGGCGCGGTGGCTCAAGCCTGTAATCCCAGCACTTTGGGAGGCTGAGGCGGGTGGATCACGAGGTCAAGAGATCGAGACCATCCTGGTCAATATGGTGAAACCCCGTCTCTACTAAAAATACAAAAAAGTAGCTGGGCATGGTGGCACGTGCCTGTAATCTGAGCTACTCAGGAGGCTGAGGCAGGAGAATTGCCTGAACCCAGGAGGCGGAGGTTGCGGTGAGCCGAGATCGCGCCATTGCACTCCAGCCTGGGTAACAAGAGAGAAACTCCGTCTCAAAAAAAAAAAAAAAAAAAAAAAAAAAAAGACCAAAGTGCAAACAGATTCCTGTCTGCGAGTCACTGTGTGTGATCCTCAGCTGAGGGTGATGGGGATCTCCAAGGGGAGGTGCGGCAGGACTCCAGGAGTCCCATTTGCACCCAATGGGGGCGGGAGGCAGGTTGTTAGGAAGAAAGACAACTTAACGCTGCTTTGAGTATTTTTTTTAAGAGAGTCTCGCTCTGTTGCCCAGGCTGGAGTGCAGTGGTGCAATCGTGACTCACTGCAGCCTTGACCTCCTAGCCTCAAGCCGTCGTCCTGCCTCAACTTCCCGAATCGCGGGGACTACAGGCATATGCCACCATGCCTGGCTAATGTTTCTACTTTTTGTAGAGACGGGGTCTTGCCAAGTTGCCCAGGCTGGTCTTGAGCTCCTGGGCTCAAGCCACCCTCCCATCTCAGCTTCCCAAGTAGCTGGGACCACAGGCACATGCCACCATGCTCAGCTAGTTTTAAAAAAAAATCATTTTTTGTGGAGACAAGGTCTCCTTGTGTGGCCTGGTCTTGAACTCCTGGATTGCCTCAAGTGATCCTCCCGCCTCAGCCCCTCAAAGTGCTGGGATTACAGTGTGAGCCACTGCGCCCAGCCTGCTTTCACTTCTTAAATCAAGGGAGAAATACAAGCTGTCAAACAAAAGTTTCAGTCATCCCAATTTGGGGCTTACTAATCATCTCCAGGATAGAGACCCAAAGCTAAAAGTTACCTTTTCTTTTGCTCGTGATCCAGGAAGGGTCTAACCGGGACAGACCTCTGGGGCTGCCTAGCGTGGGTGTCTGCTGGAACCTTCTAAAATGTCTCAGCCTATTTAATTAGAGAATTCACTGAAGAATTAAAAGACTCAGTAAAAAAAAGAGGTTTGGTTTGTTCATGAAAGTAAGTAGCTTATGAAATGCTTTGTTTTCCTATGACTAAAATTCTACCTTGTATTCCCAATAAGGATTGCTTCAAGCTATTCATTAGTACAGATTAAACCTGTTTGACCATGCTCATGGGAAAATGGCAAACTATCTTCATTCACCAACTGAGGGTTGGCTGCTCTTGAAGGGAGCTCTGAGATTGTTCTGCAATGGAGACAAAGGCTTATTTCACTGTTGGGGAAGGGGCAGAAGGATTTAGGCCAGAGAGTCAGGGGTGTGGAGGGCGAGCTATTTCTCTCTTTCCTTTTTTTTTTTTTTTGAGATACAGCCTCGCTCTTTCACCTAGGCTGAAGCACAATGGTGCAATCTCAGCTCACTGCGACTTCCACCTCCCGGGTTCAATCAATTCTCCTGCTTCAGCCTCCCAAGTAACTGGGATTACAGGTGCCTGCCAGCACGCCCGGCTAATTTTTGTATTTTTAGTAGAGACGGGGTTTCACTGATTGGCCAGGCTGGTCTTAAACTCCTGACCTCACGATCCGCCCACCTCAGCCTCCCAAAGTGCTAGGATTACAAGTGTGAGCCACAGTATCAGGTTCCCCCTCCATTTTTTTTTTAAATTTATTTTTATTTTTTTATTTTTTTGAGAGAGTGAGCTCTGCTGCCCAGGCTGGAGTGCAGTGGTGCAATCTCAGTTCACTGCAGCCTCTGCCTCCCAGGTTCAAGTGATTCTCCTGCTCAGCCTCCCGAGTAGCTGGGATTACAGGCGCCCACCACCATGCCCAGCTAATTTTTTGTGTTTTTAGTCTAGACGGGGTTTCACCATGTTGGCCAGGGTGGTCTCGAACTCCTGACCTCAAGTGATCCATCCATCTTGGCCTTCCAAAGTGCTGGGATTACAGGCGTGAGCCACCATGCCCAGCCACAAGTGGCCCTTTCTAAGCCCCGAGATGTCACTGCCTTTTCATTGAAGGTAGAAAAAGAATGTAAGCATGTTTGTCTGAGAAGGAGGGAGTAGCTTTAGGAAAAAGGATCAAGAGCACATTCTGAGTGGGAAGTGAGCCTTATAAGATGGTTCGGCTCTGTGTTCCCACCCAAATCTCATGGTGAACTGTAATCCCCAGTGCTGGAGGTGGGGCCTGGTGGGAGGGATTGGCTCTTGCGGGTGAGCCTTCGTGAATGGTTTAGCCCCGCCCTCTTGGTGCTATTCTAGTGACAGAATTCTCACAAGATCAGGTCGGTTCAAAGTGTGCGGCATCGCCAGTTAAGATACCTGCTCCCCTTGGCCTTCTGTTATGAGTCAAAGCTCGATGAGGCCTCCCCAGAAGCAGAAGCTTCCTGTACAGCCTGTGGGCCGTGAGCCAATTAAACGTCTTTTCTTTGTAAGTTACCCAGTCTCAGGTGTTTCTTTATAGCTGTGTGAGAACAGACTCATATCCCTTAAAATAGGATTTTATTTTATTTTATTTTATTTTATTTGAGATAGGGTCTCGATCTGTCACCCAGGCTGGAGTGCAGTGGCATGATTTCAGCTCACTGCTACCTCTGCCTCCTGGGCTGAAGCAATTCTCATGCCCCAGCCACCCACGTACCTGGGATTACAGGTGTGTGCCACCATGCTGGCTAACTTTTGTATTTTTAGTAGAGATGGGGTTTCTCCATGTTAGCCAGGCTGGTCTCAAACTTCTGCACTTAGCGATCTGCCCACCTTGGCTTCCCTGGAGTGCTAGGATGACAGGCGTGAGCCACCTCGCCTGGCCGGATTTTTTTCTTTTAATGCACTTAATGCTGGGTGCCATGGCTCACACCTATAATCCCTGTGCTTTGGGAGGCTGAAGTGGGAAGATCACTTGAGTACAGGAGTTTGCGACCAGCCTGGGAAACACTGAGATCTCATCTCTACCAACCAACCAACAAACAAAATAGCCAGGTGTGGTGGTGCACACCTGTAGTCCCAGCTCCTTGGGAGGCTAAGGCAGGAAGATTGCTTGAGCCCAGGAGTTCAAGGTTGCAGTGAGCTATGATTGCACCACTGCATTCCAGCCTGGGTGACAGAGCAAGACCCTATCTCCATTTAAGAAAAAATGCATTTAAGAAATCACCTTAAGGCCGGGCGCGGTGGCTCAAGCCTGTAATCCCAGCACTTTGGGAGGCCGAGGCGGGTGGATCACGAGGTCAAGAGATCGAGACCATCCTGGTCAACATGGTGAAACCCCGTCTCTACTAAAAATACAAAAAATCAGCTGGGCATGGTGGCACGTGCCTGTAATCCCAGCTACTCAGGAGGCTGAGGCAGGAGAATTGCCCGAACCCAGGAGGCGGAGGTTGCGGTGAGCCGAGATCGCGCCATTGCACTCCAGCCTGGGTAACAAGAGCAAAACTCCGTCTCAAAAAAAAAAAAAAAAAAAAGAAATCACCTTAGTACTTGGTAAGCTATTAAGTGGTTTGTTTTAAGTGTACTAATTACATAGCCAGGATAATAACTTGGTTGCTAAGAGCTTTGAGGTGGCTCCAAGCAAGAAGATAGGCATTAGGCTACAGCTTAGAGTCTCAGAATGAACTATTTCCATCTTCGCTGTCCTTTGCTTAACTGTGGGATAAATATCATTTTCTCAACATTCAACACACGTGTCCTTACACGTGTCCTTACTCGTCCTCTACGACCCTGCTTCCACGTTGCCAACAGAACACAGAACGGCCGCAAACACCTACTGGGTTGTTACTGGCCTTTCCTGCCAGGATGAGCCGGGCTTTGACCTTGTTCATGTTGAAGTTCTTCAGGTAGGCCTCGTAGATTCTCTTGGTCAGATATTTGAGATCTGCGCTTTCAGAATCTTCTATGTCATCATCGCAGGTAAGAATTTCTGCTTTCAGTTTCGCTTTTTCAGATCTTGGCATTCGTCCAAAACGAATCGCTAGGGTTTGGAGGGGGAGATCCGGGCGTGAGCAGTGAGGTCATGACTGAGCTGACAGGGCTGGGTGAGGGGCTCCCCCAGGACTTTCACTCCCCCGGGAATGAAAACTCACGGGCAGTTCAAACCCATCCTTGATTCAGCTTTCTACTACGGAGAGATGAAAAACAAACTCCGTGTACTGTAGGCTTTTAAACACGTGCCGGCTGAAGGTGCTACCATCATTCATCTCATTAGCAGGGTGCACGCCACCATCAGAGGCGTCATCAACTTTTGAGTTAAGGAGGTGAACGGGGCTTCAGGATGAGTTTATATAATAACTGCTTTTTTTTTTTTTTTTTTTTTTTCCCCAGAAGGTAGATATGCAACTCTCATGAACGACTTACTTGACAGTTGCATCCATGTCACCATTAGCATGTTCTGAAACTACGATATGATTGGCTAGAAGGAAATGCATACTGTGGTGGGTGTTTGAAGTGGTAGCCCCTTCCTACGGATGAGGCAAACATTCTGTCATTTTGGTCACTTCCAGTTGGTTTTTCTATTCTGTATCAAAGTCTTACCATTTGAAGTTTCTAACAGTGAGTCCAATGCACCACTGAATCTCAGCTATTTGAGAGTTGCTTTTTTCTTTGAGACAGGGTCTCACTCTGTTACTCAGGCTGGAATGCAGTGGCACAATCTGAGCTCACTACAACTTCCCGGATTCAAGCTATTCTCCTGTCTCAGCCTCCCAAGTAGCTGGGATTAGAGGTGTGCACCACCATGCACAGCTAATTTTTGTATTTTTAGTTGAGATGGGGTTTTTGGCATGTTGGCCAGGCTGGTCTCAAACTCCTGACCTCAAGTAACCGCCTGCCTCCGCCTCCCAGAGTACTGGGATTACAGGCGTGAGCCACCGTGCCTGGGACACTTTTATTTTCTTAGGCCGCTCTGATTACAAAATGACTTGGGTGTGAAATGCTGAAGCACATTCATTCATAGCTTGGTCTGTTCGCTTTGAACAAGGAAGGGGAACCGAGCAATGGACTGGGAAAATGTGCGGGGCCAGCTTACCTACCGTTGTGTGACATCCCAACGGAAAGGCACTTGTGAAAGCGACAATACTGGCACTTGTTTCTATTCTTTTTCTGGATCTTACAGGTGCGATCACACTTGTCATACACCAGCTTGAGTCGGATCGTTCGCCGAAAGAAGCCCTGTGAGGGGAATACACGGATTTAAAGACACAGGCCCCTGAGAAACCAGCGCCCTTGCCTTACTCACCTTTTTTGCTGTTCATTCATTGTTTCTTTTTAAATGAATGAAATTTAGAGAAATAGTTCTTCTAGGCAAGGCATGGGGGTCACGCCTGTCATCCCAGCACTTTGGGAGGCTGAGTCAAGTAGATCACCAGAGATCAGGAGTCCGAGACAAGCCTGGCCAACATAGTGAAACCCCATCTCGACTAAAAATACAAAAATTAGCCGGGTGTGGTGGCGCAGGTCTGTAATCCCAGCTCCTCTGGAGGCTGAGGCACAAGAATTGCTTCAACCTTGAAGGTGGAGGCTGCAGTGAGCTGAGATTGCATCACTGCACTCCAGCCCTGGCAACAGAGCGAGACTCCATCTTGGGGAAAAAAAAAAAAAAAAAAAGATAAATAGTTCTAAAAAGTCTGAAATGATTGGGGCAAATATAGAATTTTAAACATCATTACATTTAATGTGAAAAACAATCAAATGAGGCCCCATTCAAAGCTGTTTCAAAATGACCTCATCTGACTTGGGCAAACACAATTACAGTTTTCCAAAGAGTTTCTCAGCTTTGTTACAATGTATATAAATGTAACTATCCCCAGGTTATGACATTTCCGTATTTGTGACTAAAGACTTTCTAGGAATTTTTCTAAGAGTATATTAACTCCCTCAAAGACACACATTACAATAAAAGGAAGCCCGCTGTTTGTAAACAATTTCCTGCTTTGTAATAGTGTCTTAAACTCGGGGCCGGGCGCGGTGGCTCACGCCTGTCATCCCAGCACTTTGGGAGGCTGAGGTGGGTGGATCGCGAGGTCAAGAGATCGAGACCATCCTGGTCAACATGGTGAAACCCCGTCTCTACTAAAAATACAAAAAATTAGCTGGGCATGGTGGCGTGTGCCTGTAATCCCAGCTACTCAGGAGGCTGAGGCAGGAGAATTGCCTGAACCCAGGAGGCGGAGGTTGCGGTGAGCCGAGATCGCGCCATTGCACTCCAGCCTGGGTAACAAGAGCAGAACTCCGTCTCAAAAAAAAAAAAAAAAAAATAGTGTCTTAAACTCTACCCAGCAAGAAACAATGTTACTAGATAGTCCATAAAAATGAAACTAAATGAGTAATTAATCACAGCACTGAGGAAAAGGCTACTTTACAAGGAGCTTTTCTTTTCTTTCTTTTCTTTTTCTTTTTCTTTCCTTCTTTCTTTCCTTCTTTCTTCTTTTTTTTTTTTTTTTTTTTTTCGAGACGGAGTTTCGCTCTTGTTACCCAGGCTGGAGTGCAATGGCGCGATCTCGGCTCACCGCAACCTCCGCCTCCTGGGTTCAGGCGATTCTCCTGCCTCAGCCTCCTGAGTAGCTGGGATTACAGGCACGTGCCACCACGCCCAGCTAATTTTTTGTATTTTTAGTAGAGATGGGGTTTCACCATGTTGACCAGGATGGTCTCGATCTCTCGACCTCGTGATCCACCCGCCTCGGCCTCCCAAAGTGCTGGGATTACAGGCTTGAGCCACCGCGCCCGGCTCTTCTTTCTTTCTCTTTCTTTCTTTCCTTCCTTCCTTCCTTCCTTCCTTCCTTCCTTCCTTCCTTCCTTCCTTCCTTTCTTGACAGAATCTCGCATTGTTGCCTGGGCTGGAGTACAATGGCATAATCTCCGCTCACTGGAAACTCTGCCTCCCAGGTTCAAGTGATTCTCCTGCTTCAGCCCCTGAGTAGCTGGGATTACAGGTGCCTGCCACCATGCCTGGCTAACAGTTTGTATTTTTAGTAGAGACAGGGTTTCACTATGTTGGCTAGGCTGGTCTTGAATGCCTGACCTCGTATCCACCAGCCTCAGCCTCCGAAAGTTAGGGGACTGCAGGCTCGATCTGCCACACCAGGCTACAAGGAGCTTTTTCAAAGGTACGCGGTTGCAAAATCTGTGAAGGAGTTCGTTTTTGCTTCGGGTTCTTTTTCCTCTGCTTTTTTTTTTTTTTTGAGACGGGGTTTCGCTCTTGTTACCCAGGCTGGAGTGCAATGGCGCGATCTCGGCTCACCGCAACCTCCACCTCCTGGGTTCAAGCAATTCTCCTGCCTCAGCCTCCTGAGTAGCTGGGATTACAGGCACGCACCACCATGCCCAGCTAATGTTTTGTATTTTTAGTAGAGACGGGGTTTCACCATGTTGACCAGGATGGTCTCGATCTCTTGACCTCGTGATCCGCCCGCCTCGGCCTCCCCAAGTGCTGGGATTACAGGCTTGAGCCACCGCGCCCAGTCCTTTCCTCTGCTTTTAAGTCATTCTTCTATATTTTTGCTGCAGTGCGTCTGCTTGGCCCATGGGAGAGGGACAGCAGTGTGCCGGGGAACGTGAGGCAGGCTGATGTCTCCATGATGTCCTTACCTAGGCTTAGCACAGTGGGGAGGCTAAGGAACGCATGGGGTTAGAATGGGAAGGGTGGGGAGAGAAAGTTCTAGATGGCAGAATGCCACAATGTCCTGGCCGTGAGGTTCTCTCTGCAGCCCAGGCCTGGCTTGGGGCAGAATGCTGCTGTTCCAGGATCATAGATTGTGCCAGAAAGGCAGTGGCATTTTCCGAGGTAGTGAACACCTGCGGCGTGTGCCGTGAGAAGGGATTTCTTATTCAAAGCAAACATTCAGATGATGATTTCCTGCATGTCATGTACACACGGCCCCAGATTTGAGAGCATGTCTTTGTAATCCTAAAGAAACGCTGCTGCAGGGGCTCTCCTCATCACCACGCTGGCAAACACGGAAGGACCACCAGTCCACTGGCAGCATGTGGAACAACAGGGCCGCCTTCATGCACTCCTGGCCTGGGTCACATCTGCTTAGGGCAGGCTGAGCCAGCATGAAGATACACAGGGGGATCCTGTGGCTAGAATCGCGTGGCGAAGCCCCTGATGTGCAGAAAGGAACAGCCGGGGGGCAGGAGCAGCCAGTCTCTGGTTCTAGTCCCCGCTGCTGGGCACTGTGGGACCCTGAGAAAGATACTCTGTGTCTCTGATGGCCAATTCCTCTGGCAGGAGCATGAGAACACCTGGCCTTCAGGAAGGGTCTAGAGATCAATGGTAAAGGCTCTCTGTCTTGTATTCAAATGAAGTGATCATTCTTAATGTGGCTTGTTTTCTTTTTTCTGAGACAGAGTTTCATTCTTGTTGCTCTGGCTAGAGTGCAATGGCATGAAATCGGCTCACTGCAACCTCTGCCTCCCAGGTTCAAGTGATTTTCCTGTCTCAGCCTCCCAAGTATCTGAGATTACAGGTATCTGCCACCACACCCTGTTAATTTTTATATTTTTAGTAGAGACAGGGTTTTGTCATGTTGACCAGGCTGGTCTTGAACTTCTGACCTCAGGTGATCTGCCTGCCTCAGCCTCCCAAAGTTCTGGGATTACAGGTGTGAGCCACTGTGCCTGTCCCAGGGTAGTTTATTTTATTTTAAAGAACACACTTCTGTAAGTATTTACAAAGCACAGAAGAACCATCTGTCCTAGTCTCTCTAAAGCAGTACTCTCCAGCCTTTTTTGCACCAGGGACTGTTTTCATGGAAGACAGTTTTTCCACAGATAGGGGGTAGGGAAGGGATGGTTTTGGGATAAAACTGTTCCACCTCAGATCATCAGGCATGAGATTCTCATAAGGGGCATAAAGCTAGATCCCTCAAATCCACAGTTCACAATAGGGTTCATGCTCTCAGGGGTTCTGTGTTCTAAAGAGAGACGCTAATCTATCACTGAGGTCAGTTGCCTTCTTTCCTTTTTCTTTTTTGAGACAAAGTCTCACTCTTGTTACCCAGGCTGGACTGCAGTGGCATGATCTTGGCCCACTGCAACTTCTGCCTACTGGGTTCAAGCAATTCTCCTGCCCTGGCCTTCTGAGTAGCTGGGATTACAGGTGCCTACCACCACACCTGGCTAATCTTTTTTTTTTTTTTTTTTTTTTTTGAGACGGAGTTTCGCTCTTGTTACCCAGGCTGGAGTGCAATGGGGCAATCTCGGCTCACCGCAACCTCCGCCTCCTGGGTTCAAGCAATTCTCCTGCCTCAGCCTCCTGAGTAGCTGGGATTACAGGCACGCGCCACCATGGCCAGCTGATTTTTTGTATTTTTAGTAGAGACGGGGTTTCACCATGTTGACCAGGATGGTCTCGATCTGTTGACCTCGTGATCCACCCACCTCGGCCTCCCAAAGTGCTGGGATTACAGGTGTGAGCCACTGCGCCCGGCTCTGGCTAATTTTTTTCAGTATTTTTAGACAGGGTTTCACCATGTTGGCCAGGCTGGTCTCAAACTCCTGATCTCAGATGATCTACCTTCCTTGGCCTCCCAAAGTGCTGGAATTAGAGACATGAGCCATGGTGTCTGGCCTGAGGTCAGTTTCTTATCTGGGACTTTCTGAGATCACTCAGTAATGACTGTCATTTGCTATAAAAGTAACCACAAGTGTTTGATGGTGGCAGCCATTGGGCCCCGCTCCAGATCCCCTCTACCTTGCAGCCTTCACAGGCGTGGACTCCGTAATGGTAGCCCGAGGCTTTGTCCCCACAGATTCTGCATTCGATGTTCAGTGCTCCACTGGGAGACTCGTCCACGCTGCTCGGGACCACAGGGCAAGTCACTGAGGAGGGGCTTGAAGCTGGTGAAAGCGTGTCTGGGGAAAAAAAGGAGAGACCGATGAATAGTTCGGGCATCACTCTCCTGTGTCTGAACAGGGTCTATGAGGATGTCATTTTGCACATAAGTTGGCAGAACATCCACGCGGGGCTGGGCCTGCATTTATGCACAGTAAGTGTGCATCAACCACGCTTACAGCAATTTGGCAAAGCTCAGTCTCTTCTTGGGTATGAGTGTCACACCAGGGCTCTTTGGCTAGACTGTGTGGTTAAGACCAAAGGTGACCACAAGGATGCATGCCGAGTTATTGGGACTGGCTGCCTCTAGGTCACACCCTCTTGCACTCCTACAACTGCCATTGTGCTGCGCTTCCAAAGCCAGCCTGCTCTCACTGCTGCTAAGCTGACCCCAAGCTTGGACCAGCAGGCCTCTGATCACACATCTCCCGACCCGCGCACCTCTGATCACACATCTCCGGACTCAAATATCCCATCCGTACATCTCCGATCTGCACATCTCCTATGCACACATCTTCACATTGACACATCTTTGGACCCGCACACCTCTGGACCCACAAATCTCCTGACCGCGCATCTCTGATCCGTACATCTGTGCTCTGCACATCACCAGGCCTGCACACCTCAGAATCCCCACATCTCTGGACCTGCACATCTCCAATCCACACATCTCTGGACCCCGCATCTCTGGACCTGCACATCTCCAATCCGCACATCTCTGGACCCTGCGTCTCTGAACCTGCGCATCTGCAATCCGCGCATCTCCGCTCTGCTCAGCTCCAGACCCGCACGTCTCTGGATCCCCGCATCTCTGGACCCGCGCATCTCCAATTCGCCTAGCTTCTGATCCGCACATGTCCTGATCTGCGCTTCTCCAGTCCGCATATCTGATCCGCACATCTCCAGACTCGCGCATCTCTGGACCGTCACGTCTCTGATCCGCATATCTCCAGACCCCCACATCTTTGATCCGCACATCTTGGGACCCCCAGCATCTGATCTGCACATCTCCGGCCCCCCACATCTCTAATCTGCACCTCTGGGTACCTGCACATCTACTGATCTGTGCATCTCCAGACTGCACATCTCAGGAACCACACTTTGCCGGACCGCACATCTCCTGATCCCCACATCTCTGGACCTGCACATTGCCATCTCCTCCATACCTCACACTGCAGGACTCCCCTTGCCCCCACGCATGACACGTGCTACATGGAACTCACTTTCCTTCTTTTCTTCGTCCTTCTCTCCCTCCCTCCCTCCTTCCTTCCTTCTTTCCTGTTCTTCCTGTTCTTCTGCAATTGTTAACCCAATACATGCACCAGAATACAGTATAAAAATTTATGTGGGCAACACCAAATACATAATCCATGAAAGGGAAAATATAAGTTAGAATTTATGAGAGCTAATAAAAGCTTCTGCTCTGCAAAAGACATTGCTAAGAAAATTAAAGACAAACCACAGACTGGGAGAAAATATGTTTAACACCCATGTGGTAATATACAAAGAGGTCTCGAAACAACAATAAGAAAACTAACAACTCAATTGAAGAATGGGCAAAAGATCTGAACAGGCACGTCAGCAAAGAGGATATACAGATGGCAGGTAAGCATATGAAACGGTGTTCAGCATCATATGTCATTGGGGCACTGAGAATGAGAACAGCAATACGATGTCACCACACAGCTACTGGGATGATTGAAATCCACAAAACCAACATCATCAAATCTTGTGAGGATGTGGAGCAATAGGAACCCCCATTCATTGGTGGGAATGCAGTCAGATGGCCATTGGGATGACCTTCTGGCAGTTTCCGACAAAGTAAAGCAGGTTTACTGTATGATGGACTCACACTCCTAGGTATTTGTCCAATTGATTTGAAACTTCTGCCCACACGAAACCTACACATATTTAGAGCAGCTTTATTCTTTTTTTTTTTTTTAGACGGAGTCTTGCTGTGTCACTCAGGGTGGAGCACAGTGATGTGATCTCAGCTCACTGCAACCTCTGCCTCCTGGGTTCAAGTGATTCACCTGCCTCAGCCTCCCCAGTAGCTGGGATAAACAGGTACCCATCACCATGCCCAGCTAATTTCTGTATTTTTAGTAGAGACAGGGTTTTAACATGTTGGCCAGGCTGGTCTCAAACTCCTGACCTCAAGTCTGCCCACCTTGGCCACCCAAAGTGCTGGGATTACAGGCATGAGCCACCATGCTTGACCAACTCTTTAATGTAATTATGAAAGAAGCCAGTCTGAAAAGGCAACATACTATGTGATTTCAAATTCATGGCATTCCGGAAAAGGTAAAACTAGAGTGATGGTAAAAAGGTCCATTTCTGGGCTGGCTGGGGTGGGAGAAGCAGGGCTGAATAGGTGAAGCATGGGGATTTTTGACGTGGGGAAACTATTCATATGAAAACGTAGTGGTCTGGGAGTGGTGGCTCATGCCTGTCATCCCAGAACTTTGGGAGGCTGAGGCCGGTGGATCACTTGAGCTCAGGGGTTTGAGACCAGCCTGGGGAACATGGCGAAACCCTGTCTTTACAAAAAATACAAAAAGTTGCTGGGTGTGGTGGCATGCACCTCCAATCCCAGCTACTTGGGAGGCCGAGGTGGGAGGATCAGCTGAGCCCTGAGAAGCTGAGGCTGCAGTGAGCTGAGATTATACTGCCACTGTACTCCAGTCTGGGTGTCAGAGTGATGCCTCCATCTAAAAAATAATAAAGAAAAGAAAAAGAAAGAAGGCGAAAGGAAGGAAGGAAAGAAGGAAGGAAGGAAGAAAGAAAGAAAAAGAAAGAAAGAAAGAAAGAAAAGTGGGAAAGAGAGGGAAAGAAAGAGTGGGGCCAGGCATGGTGGCTCACACCTGTAATCCCAGCAGTTTGGGAGGCTGAGTTGCGGAGGCTGCTTAAGCCAAGAGTTTGAGACCAGTCTGGGCAACAGGGTGAAGCCCCGTCCCTACAAAAAAAATTAGCTGGGCATGGTGGTGGGCACTTGTAGTCTCAGCTACTTGGGAGGCTGAGGTAGGAGGATTACCTGGGCCCAGGGGGTTGCGGCTGCAGTGAGCCAAGATCACGCCACTAAACTACAGCCAGAGCTTAGAGTGAGACCCTCTCTCAAATAAATAAATAAAAATATGAAGTAAAAACAGATGGAAACAGACAAATCTGCAATTATAACTGGAGATTTCAACGCCCCTGTCTTAATAACTGGTAGAACAAACTGACGGCAAATCAAGCATAAGGAAGACTTCAACGACACGAATAACCAACTTTATTTTATTATTATTTTTTTTTTGAGATGGAGTTTTGCTCTTGTCACCCAGGCTGGAGTGCAATGGCGCTATCTTGGCTCACTGCAACCTCTGCCTTCTGGGTCCAAGTGATTCTCCTGCCTCAGCCTCCTGAGTAGCTGGGATTACAGGTGCCTGCCACCACACCCAGCTAATTTTTTGTATTTTTAGTAGAGACAGGGTTTCACCATGTTGGCTAGGTTGGTTTTGACTCCTGACTTTAGATGATCCACTTGCCTTGGACTCCCAAAATGCTGGAATTACAGGCGTTAGCCAACATTCCTGGCCATTAATAAACAACTTAATCTAATTGATATTTACAGAATATTCCACATAGCAACTGAAGAATACGGATTCTTCTCAAGTACATATCGAACATTTACCAAGACAGGCCATACTCTGCATCATGAAATAATTCTTAATAAATTATAAAGGATTCAAATCATGCAAAGAATATTCTCTCTTTAGACCACAATGGAACTAAATTAGAAATCAGTAACAGAAATATGTCTAGAAAAATAATCCTCAAATATTTGGAAGTCAAAAATAAACTAAATAACCCGTGAACTCAAGAATAAAGCAAAAGGGAAGTTAGGAAATATTTAGGATTAAAAGCAAAAACACAGCATCTCCAAAGCTGGGCATGGTGGCTCACGCCTGTAATCCCAGCACTTTGGGAGTCCAAGGCAGGCGGATCACAAGGTCAGGAGTTCAAGACCAGCCTGGCCAAGATGGTGAAGCTCTGTTTCTACTAAAAAGGCACAAACTAGCCAGGTGTGGTGGTGCGTGCCTGTAATCCCAGCTACTCGGGAGGCTAAGGCAAGAGAATCGCTTGAACCTGGGAGGCAGAGGTTGCAGTGAGCTGAGATCACACCACTGCACTCCAGTCTGGGCAACAGAATGAGACTCTGTCTCAAAACAACAACAACAAAAAACAGCATCTCCAGCATCTCCAAATTTGTAACATGATGTTAATGGAGTGCTTAGATGGAAATTCTGGCACTAAATGCCCAGGTTAGAAAAAAAGAAAGGTTCAGGCTGGGTCGGGTGGCTCATGCCTGTAATCCTAGCATTTTGGGAGGCAGAGGCGGACAGATCACCTGCGGTCAGGAGTTCGAGACCAACCTGGCCAACATGGCGAAACCCTGTCTCTACTGAAAATATAAAAATTAGCTGAGCATGGTGGCAAGTGCCAGTAATCCCAGCTACTAGGAAGGCTGAGGCTGGAGAATTGCTTGAACCTGGGAGGTTGCAGTGAGCCAAGATAGAACCACTGCACTCCAGCCTGGGCAACAGAATGAGACTCTGTCTCAAAATAAAATAAAGTGAAATAAAATAAAATATAATATAATTCATAGGCATCTAGACAGACTGATCAGAAAAGAGGGACAAAATATAAATCATCAAAATCAGAAATGAGAGAAGTGATACCATTATAGATTCTGCAGATATCAGAAGGATAATAAGGGAACATTATGAACAACTTCATGTCAATAAATCCCATAATTTAGATGAAATGAATAAATTCCCTGAAAGACACAAATTACCAAAGTTAACTCAAGAAGACAGATATGAGCCAAATAGCCTCGTTATCTTTTTTGTGTGTGTGACAGAGTTTCGCTCTTGTTGCCCAGGCTGGAGTGCAATGGCATGTTCTTGGCTCACGACAACCTCTACCTCCCAGGTTCAAGAGATTCTCCTGTCTCACCCTCCAGTGTAGCTGGGATTAC